TTTCAGAGTTCTATAAAAGCCAAGTTCCTCATTTTTCTACAAGCTTTTCTTTTGCAACTTTTTATGAACACAACAGACTTAAATTAGTCTTTATATTGATTTTCCACTGCTACTTGATATACACAGCTGCAGTCCATTATCAGTTGTCGCTGGTGCACCTACCCCCCCTACTGTTTTCTGCTGGTTGTATGCTTTCCCCCATTTGTACATGCTTTTGTTGTGTAGGGGTTACAGATAGCTGCTCTCTGCCAAGTCATATAATGGCACTGCATGCAATGCAGTAACAATTTGCAGGTGTCTTCTGTTCCTGAGCACCAGAGGCAATTAGTCAGTGGGTGGGTAAGAAATTCAAGTGACCCGAGACCTTGGTTACTAGCTTTTCTGCAGCACCTGAGCATTTATAACACGGAAATTAAGCGAGTGAAGACTTTTCTACCTCCATGCCAGGAGAAGCTACACTAATTTGATTTTCACTCATACCACCAGAATAAAGAGGCAAGAGGAATAATGGAACCATGGAGGGGGTAGAGGGAAGTCGGGGGATTGGAGAAATTCCAAATTTCGGTACTGTATTGAATATACAAACATTATGCAAAATGATACAGTTCATTTTTTATTTTTTATTTCTTAATGTTCATTGTTAGAAGATGTTTGTTATAATGAAAACCAATAAAATATTATTAAAAATAGAATAAAGAGGCAAGAGTCACATATCTGGACCTTAAATAGGCAATGGCTTTGTAAAACATTATTTGCAATAGATAAATAGCTAAACGGAAGCAACATCCTTCCTCTGGTGTGGGTGACATGCTTATCAGCTCATGGAGTTCTGGTCATTCCACTTCAGTCTTTTCTGGCTGAGCTTCTGTGGCCCAAGACTGATGGCCAGTCTTTCTCCTACCCTCGGCCCTTCACATTAAAGCAGGGAAGGAGAACAGTTTTTTAAAACAACCTTTTGGGGATCACATACAAGGCAAAGCCAGAGACAGAAGTGGCCAAATGTAGAATGTGAAGTTTACTTTTGTATAGTAGGGTAATTTCTACATGCACCCATGCATGTACCACCCCCCACCTGTCTCTATCTTCCATCGAAGAAGCAAGAAGGATTATCAGAGATCAAGGACACATTCCAGGTGGCAAAAACACTCAAGGAGGGGACCAAGCAAGGCTGGTGAAATATGAGCCCTTGGGAGAGGGTGTGTGACAGAAAACCCCCTATGCCTTCTAAACACACAACCTTGGAAGGGGCAGTTCTGAGGAAGCTTTCCTTCATTGTAGCAGATGCCTGAAGATCTGTTTTTCAGAGTCTTGATTTTAATTTTTCTCCTTTGAAACCACACTGCATCTGCCACAAGCGGCGACTGCATCCCTTAATACTTGCTGCAGATCCCCATGGAAAGTGTCACACCCTCCTCTGAAAGATATACCCTATCACTGTGGAGCAGGTTGTCTAGTTTCCTCCCCACCTTTGTAATAGAGTTGTGGTGTGCTGGAACAAGAGGGAAGTAATGCCGGCAGCTGTGAGTTCTTATTGAGGTTGTGTGCAGCATTGACAAGGGTTGTGATTTCACACTGGCACTAAACTCTCATTGACATTCCTTATATTCTGCACATAGGAACTAATAAGATGGAGCACACGAAAACTGGTTTCTCAAAAAAGAAACAAAAACAAAACCCCACCTCTCAAGGTTTATCAACGCTTCCTGAGACAATGACCCCAAAAGGACTACATAAAGGGGGGGACCTCTTAGTCATAGATATAATCGGGGCGTCTTACCCATAGAGGCTAGTGGCATGGGGTGCCAGGGTGCCAAGTTCTGGAGGGCACCAGGGAAGAGGCGGAGGCTGGACGCAGCACCTCCTGGCATCAGCTTGCCGCCCTCCAGCTGCTGCCCGCTTTCTCCAGCCCCACCAGCAGACCATCCTCCCTTAAGGTCAACAACTCTGAGAAAGGGGGGGGGCACTGGAGGGAGCTTTGGACCACAGTGCCAGATATGCTTAAGACAGCCCTGTCTATAATGCTGGCATTTCACCAAAATGGTTGGTCAGTACCAACATTTTGAAATCGAGGTAGTTCTATGTACCAGGATCTGATTTTGCTCCTTGAGTTTGTTCCCAATGAATGGTCTTTTCTCAAAGACAATTCATATGCCATTGCTTCTGTTTTGATCTGGTTCCACTGCTCATCCATTTCCCTCTCCTTTATGTACATAGGCATGCAAACTGAGTGAGAATCAATCCCCATGCTGAGGCTTCTTACACAATCCTACACATGTCTCTCAGAATAAGTCCCACTGATTTATTTCCAGCGAAGGGTGTGTAGGATATTGCAACCTGAAACCATTAAACAAAGCTTAGAGGATGAATTTTGTGGCTACTCCCTGGGAAGGATGAAAATGCAGAAATCTTGGTGAAAAGGATAGATAACAAATCTAATTCTACACTGCTGAATCGTTCCTCATATTAGTCTGAAAAACACAGTATTCAGGAGTTTTCATTTCTTTCCCAAACCATCCATTTAAACCTGTAGTGTTGATGCTACAGGGCTTCTGAAAACATATCAGCTGTATGCGCAAAGAATTCATACATCACCTAAGTATCAACAAATACCGTTTCTCTCTGGGGTTTAGTTACCAAAGCCAAAGAAAATTAGAAGTTATAGGAAAACAGAATTTTATATTTGCAGCGAGGAAATCAATTTTAGAGTTAACTTCAGGAACTGTGCTTGGCAGTCTTCATCCTTTGGCTTTCGGCCATCCTTTTGCACATGATAATGGGTCTTAAAAAAAATAAAAATCCTTCTGGCCTGTTCAAAATAAATGTACTCAAAACCTGAACTCTTGCCATGGCAATCTGCATTGTATCCTTATCAGAATGAGGTACAAGCAATGTATTTTTCTGTCCCATAAGATCTCTGCTGGATCAGAGCAAAGGACTATCTAGTTCAGCATTCTGTTCTCACAGAAGCCAGCCAGATGCCTATGGGAAGCCTGCAAGCAGGACCTGAATGCAACAGCCCATCCAGAGGTATTTTGACCCCAGCACTGGAGGTCGAACATGGCCATTGTGACTTATTGCCATTCATAGTCTTACCCTCCCTTTCTGTCTGTCTCTTTCTCTGTTAGGAACATAGAAGCTGTGTTATACCAAGTCAGACCATTGATCCTTCTAGCTCAGAACTGTCTAGACTAACTGGCAATGGCTTTCCAGGATTTCAGACAGGGGGCATTCTAGGCTCAGGACCGCAATACCTCAAGGACTGCTTTTTCCCATATGAACCTACCCAGACCCTGAGAACAACTTCTAAGGAACCTTTTTCATGTGCCTCCTCCAGGAGAGATCCAAAGGATGGCAACAGGAGAATGGGCCTTTTCCAAAGTGGCTCCCCATTTGTGGAATGCTCTCCCCAGGGAGGATCACCTGGCACCTTCATTATACACCTTTAGGGGCCAGGCAAAACCTTCCTTTTTAACCAGGCCTTTGGTTGATTTGATTGACATCCTATGCCCTTTAAAAATGTGTTGGGGAGAGGGGGTTATGGGGTTGTTTTTGTTTTTATTATGTATTTTGTGCTTTTATATTGTGATTTTATGTTGTAATCACCATGAGAGCTGCAGGTATAGGGCGGTATACAAAATAATAATAATAATAAAAATAAATGCTAAGATTTGAACCTGCAACTTCCTGCATGCAAACAATTGCTCTACCACTGAGCTACCATACTTTCCCACCCACCCATTTCTCTCATACATTTGTTTTTCACCCTTCATAAAGGATTGTAAGCCAGTGATACCTCTTCCTTCTTTCTGCTTCTCACTTCCTCCCAGTTCACTCAGCAAGGCGTAAGAAGTCTGCTGTGGCTACTTATGGTTGCCATCATTTATCAGTAAGTTGAACATATGGCATATTGCAGTCCTGTACAAAGGGACCAGCCAATCTGAATGTAGCCACTAATCATGATGATGGCTTTCCAAGTGTCTGACACCTCCTGTCCCCCATTTTTACAGTCCCAAAGAGACCATTTATCAAGCCATTTGTTGACTGCTGTGGCTGGTGGCTTATGTTTTACTTGGTGGGTCACAAGTTGTGTGGGCTTGATGTACTGCAGAGATCAATAGGAGGGTTATCCCTTTACACTTTCAAGGGGATAATCAGAATTGTATAGCCAAGAAACTCCAGTGCAAAACTTCACAGGTGAAGGGTCCATTACTGAATTTGCTGCAAATGCAGTAGAAAAGATCCTGCTTATATCAGGTTACAGCTTGTTAGACTGCACTACTCACTTGTGACAGGCTCGAGTCATGCCATATGAGAGCAATTTGCTAATTACTGCCATTTGCTGTGAATATGAGTTTCTTGTGAGCATACTGCTGTGAAGATGTGAGGTTAATAGTAATTAAATGGACCAGTTCTCTGTGCAGCACAAACTAGCAGGTAGGCACCTTGGACAGAAACTGGGCTTAAGAATATCAATCAGGACAAGGATAATGTTGTGTACTTTATGAGCTAGAGATCAAGAATAATCACAGAAAATGAAATGTTAATGGATGAAGTTTGGCAGGCATATGCCAGCAAAGGAAATCAAGGATAAAATATATGGCAAAAGGAGGTCTCTGTTAGCCTGCTTCCAACAATACTAACAATGATTTACTTTTTACTTAATTAGTTCAGTGGTTTTAAATAAAGACCATCCACATGGTTACATATTACCTACTAAAGCTAAGTAACAGTGGTACTACATCCCCCCCCCCATTGTACTAAATTCTCCACAGGAATTATTGCAACAAATAGCTTTTGTTTGGCGATATATTTTCTGTGATATGCTCCCCATTGAGAGGAATGTTACTATATCAACATTCAAAACTTGCATATAATGCTGCAGATATAGGTTAAGCATGATAGAGACAAGTCACCGTAAAACAAGTTGATGCATGCTTTTAGTCATTGGTTTTTCTGTGTCAAAGGTCTTTCCTCCTTTTTGATACATGCATCTATTCCAGATGTAGTCGCTGATTTTGACTGAGTGGAACTGCGTGATTTCTGGACATTTTCTTGGTGACTATGATTTTTGGGAGAGCAGAGCAATGGAAGCTGAGAGCAGAAACCAGCCAACTGGCAAGAAAAAATATAACTGCAGAAGACTAATGGTGGCTGCTGGGAGTTTGCTGCCTAAGCTATGGAAGAAGAAGCTGCCTGGGACTCAGCAGATGTACTGGGTGTCAACTGGCATTGAATTAATGCTCAGCTACAATTTCTGAATATATATTTTTTTTAATGATTATGAGTTTGTGTTGAGCTGGATTAATTGTTTATTGACTTGCTTGTTTTTGCTTTACTGATATAATCCTGTGTATAGATATGTGTGTGTGTGTGTGTGTGTGTGTGTGTGTGTGTGTATGTATGGTAAAGGGACCCCTGACCATTAGGTCTAGTCGTGGCCTCCTCTGGGGTTGTGGCGCTCATCTCGCTTTATTGGCCGAGGGAGCCGGCGTACAGCTTCCGGGTCATGTGGCCAGCATGACTAAGCCACTTCTGGCGAACCAGAGCAGCACACGGAAACGCCGTTTACCTTCCCACTGGAGCAGTACCTATTGATCTACTTGCACTTTGACGAACTGCTAGGTTGGCAGGAGCAGGGACCGAGCAACGGGAGCTCACCCCATCATGGGGATTCGAACCACTGACCTTCTCATCAGCAAGCCCTAGGCTCTGTGGTTTAACCCACAGCGCCACACACACACACACACACACATATATATATATATATATATATATATATATATATGTGTGTGTGTGTGTGTGTGTGTGTGTGTCAGTCCAGAAGAATGCTGTGGTCAATGACACCACAAGCTGTGGGGCTGTTAAGGAGAATCAACAGGATCACACCCCTTATGCCTCTCTTCTGAGTGACACAGGTCCATAGCCAGAGTGACCAAGGCAGTTTGAGTTCCATTTTCAATCCTGAAGATGGATTGAAATAGGTCCAGATAATCTGCTTCCTTCAAGCATTCTTGCAGCTGGGTTGCCACCACCTTCTAGAGCACCTTGCCCAGGAAAGGGATATTTGCAACTAGGTGATAGTTACTTAATGCTTTTGGGTCCAGGGAGGTCCTCCTAAGGAGAGTGTGCATCTTCAGGGCCAATTTCACTTCGCCTTTTTGCACGGAGGCAATAATCACGTCCTGGAGCCACCCTGGCAATTCCCTCTGGCTAGTTCTATAAGCCTTGGTGAACAAGGGTCTAGAGGGCCCAACTCCTTGAAATAGATTATTTACAGGGTCAGGCTGCACTAGTTGAAACATATCCAAGGAAAGACTGGGCCAGTGTTTTGGAGCTGCTCCAAATCTGAGAAAAGCTGGGCCAGACCTAGTCCACCCATCTCACTTACCCTAGCCTCAGAAATGAACACTAGATCAGCCTCCTCCTCCTCATCTATGCCTGGTTCAGTCTGTGACTTATTTTGATGCTTCTCAGTATCTAGATGGTGAATTCAAGACAGAGAAAAATGGTAAGGCACAGTCTTTTTGCCAGATGAGAACTAGGTAATGTATGGTTTTGTTTGTCAGTACAAGAACAAATCTGTTCTCTAAATAGTTCCTTGTAATGTTTGATTCTTCCTCCATTTCTTGCGCACTTAAACACAAGTGTGGTGCTTAAATTGCAAAGTCAAATTGCATTGCATGGAATGGAATGGGAGCTGCAAAGAAGATTATAATGTAGCATTATCGTGTGCTATTCTCACATGCTAAAAATCATATTCTCTTCAGAACTGGGCATAAAACATATTTTTCCCCCTAAGCCGTTCTCCCAAGTGAAAAACTTGTTTCTGTCATTTGAATTGCTTTACCTATTTCAAATCTACATAATTGTTGCCCATGTGAATAGAACCTGACACTTAGGTTGTGATTCTAACAATACTTGAAAATGAATCAGATTGAAATCAATGGGCTTTGCTTCCAACTAATGGACTTTCAGATAAGGGATGGCTTTGTCATATAAATGGCATTTTTAAAAATCAGCTTTACTTTATCCTCTACTATTAGGCAGGTTCAAAATTCTGAAAAGGCTTCTAGAAGACTTGTTGATGGCATTTTTGAGGAATCAGTAGTAACCTGGTGTTCTCTGATTAAAAAAAGTACACTGAAACTGAATCTAAATAGTAGAGTGCAAATTTCTGATTCCCAATTTTGCTGCTATATTGGGAAAAGGTTTCCTTGTTCATCTTGCTGCATTTTCAGCAATGTTAGCCTATTTACCTTATGTTGTTGTAAAAGTTGTGAACTACACAATTCTAAAAAGCTCTGATACGGGCTTCAAAAAGCACATGGTGCTTTGTTCATACCAAGAGTAGTTGTTCACATCCATCTGTCTCTAGAGACAATGGAGTGCACCTCCAGGGGTAAGTCAAACCACTGCATGATCAGCACCAGGGGTACAAAACTGGGCAGTGTGTATGGAGGTCCTGGGCTCTTATGGAGGTAAGAGCCCCCTCTTGGCCTGACTGATGTGGTCCAAAGGAAAGCAGAGCAATACATTTGACACCAGCTTGGCTGCAGGAGTTGCCAGAAGGAGGTTTACAAAGTGCCATCCAAACATCTTAGGGACTACACTCTGGAGTTGTGTAGGGTTTACTCCTTAACCTTTTCTTCTCCCAAAGATATCCTGCATGGCAGTGGAGGTTAAAGATCAGAGTTTTCCTTCTCCTTGATGGTCTACCTTCCCAGGTTGACAAGCCTCATCTGCCTCTCACTTCCCTCTACAACACTGATCAGTAGGTTCATTGTTATCCCTGTTTTCATCACCAGTCTCCCCTCAGTTGCCCTTCAATCAAAATTCACAAAAACATAAACAGGCTATCAGGTACAATACTGAGAGCAGTTTCATGATCAGCACCAACACCAACACGCTGGACAGCAGGGTAAACCTTGAAAACACCACAAATCTCAAGCGCAGTATGTGCTGGAGGAAAAAGCCATCATCTAGTTTTGTGGGCACCATTCTAGTGAGTTCAAGAGAGATGTGTAGATTCCAGACTCTGGGAAAAAAATAATTTATTTGGAAAAGTAAGTTGTAAATTCATTGTAAATAAGTTGAAAAGCAAAGGTTTCTCTGTACTTTGGCATAAATATTGGTGTGTCTCCAAGCAACAACTGGGCTTCTTCTTTAAATGTTGATTTATGACTTATGTAGCTTGGGATAATTGTAGATGAGCACTTTGCTAGCAGTACATAATGTTCCCACACATCATTTAGCTGATGGATATCACTGTTGTTGAGCTTATGCTGAATTACTTCCAAAAGCCGGTCCATGGCAACATCAGAAGTCACAGCTTGTTCCTGGTTTCTATGTGTCTGCCTGTAAAAGTCTTTCAGACAGTTCAAAAGTTATTTTCCTTTGGCAGCTATTACATCATTTACTTTAGCTATTGCATCATTCACATTAGCTAACTGAATAGGCACTGCTTTATGAGCATGTTCTTCCTGCAGCATCTTGTCACTCTCAGCAAAGTAGCTACGCTGAAGGTGTGTTCTTTATGTTGTTTCCGACAAAATAGTCATAGATGCCAATTCAGTAACGTTGCATGTTGTCTTGTTCTGATGCCTAGTAATGGTTTACTTTGGTGAGGTGGTCTTCCTGGTTTAGACCTTGAGATTATTAATGAGCTTCTTTCCATTTCCCCCTGTGTGTTGGAGTAGCAAGTTCAAAGCCACATGACATCATTGTTTACACCAGCCAATCTGGACTCAACTCTTTCACTTGTATCTCAATTCACAACATTGCTAAACCTGAATCTCGACAATCAGCCTAGACTTGTTCACATTTGCAACTCCTTGCTGATTTCCATGTCTCACACCTTCATGTGTCTACTCTTAACAAAAGATGCTGATCTTAGCATCGTAGGTATCAGTCATTATGCTTCTTCAGGGAACCAATGGGATCCATTGCTATCCACATACAACACACATCACAAATAGTTCTTAGCAGCATATCCTGAAAGGCATGCCAGGGAGAATAAAGCATAATTAGACAGAATGAAGAGAAAGATAGTACACATGATTTACAGTGTGCAGATGAGTAAATTGGGTTGCAGTAGCTGACTATGCATCGAGGGCAACAGTACATCAGGCTCGTTTGTATGCCAAAAATGGTGTGCATCACTCTCCATGAAAACAAAGCAATTGACCATATTGTGGAAGTTCAACATAATATAAATAAATAGTGTTTAACTTCCAGGCTTCGTTCTTCATGAATTTAAAAAATCATTATAAACAGCACAGAAAAGAAAATCCATAACTTTTTTTTAGGGCTGATTTTTCTTTTTAAATTTAAATTCTCAGTAATACTTGTGAAGTATTACTCAATAGATTTGGATGTTGGTCATTCTGATAGTGGAAGGTGATCAAGCATAATCCTGTAATTGAGCCAAGTGTCTCAACGAATTTCCAATTTTAAAATGTTTACTCTCCCTTTCACCTTAAAGGGCCCATAAATTTGGAATGTGAAATGAATTGAGCTGAAAAGTAGCCTTAACAAAGAGGAGCCAAAATTTTAAGAGCTCTTGTTGCTCACAATGAAGGACCAGGTTGAGCCAAGTCCCATCTCTTGACTTTATCTGGTACACCACCATGACTCAAAACAAGATGAAGGAATTAGCCCATAAAGTGTTTTCTCATTTCTTCTCAGTAAATAAAAACAGGAAATGTTATGTTATAAAGGAAACAACTATTAAACTGGTTGTCATTTGATTTTCCCTTCTGGAGGATAATGCTCAGTTTTACTTTGCTGTAGAAGCAGAAGAGCATATGATGTTTTCAGATACCGCCATGCTACAGCTAAGCAATTGCTTACAACAGCTCCGACTCCACAGAATTATGTAGGTGCAACCAACAGCCAAAAGGAAACAAATGCATCAGCATGTAGACTGCATTCCCAAACCTGCTTACCTAATAGCACATAAAATTCAGGAAGCTAATCCAAAGTAAATCAGCCTTAGACGCAAACAAATAAAACTCTTCTTCTCCTTGGATTTTTGCCAGTTTAGTCCCATTAAAGTCAAAGCTGACATTTAAATGCATTGCATATACAAGTGGAATGAGTTAAGTGCTATATGTTAATGGTATCAGACTCTCATAAAGTCAACATAATTTTACACCTAAGTTTTACAAGGTGGTGAATTGAAGCCGAAAGAATGAAAAGTATTTGTTGTGTGAGGTCACTTCCTCGCCCGTCTTTCCAGGTGTATTTTTAGACTGAGAAAAACAAGAGTTTCATTAACGGTATGCAAAGTGGATTCAGTCCTTGATAGTACATAACTTCAAA